ATATATATATATATATATATATATATATATATATATTATATTTTTTTTTATTCTCATCCTCATCATCAACTGCTGATTAAATAAAAAAAGACCATTTTGGCTTAGTGACTCTTTGTAAAAAAAACAAAAAACAAGACAAAACTCAATTTGGTTGATATATAAATTATTTTACTCTCTCCGTTCTGTATACTTAAAACTTCACATAAGTAATCTTAATAATACTTATTTACCTAAAACTAAAGTAAATTTTAACATTTAACCTGGCTTTGGTAGAGGTTAGGTAACTGCTGTTATTTGGTTACCTGTGATACTTCCTGCTAGTTTTGTGGAATTATTTGCTACTTGGACAAAGCGGTACAAATATTTGAAATGATGAGGAAGCCTGTTTGTATGAAGATAAATTAGTATTAAAAGTATTTACAAACTCACAGTGCACGGATCAGCTTACTGGTGTATTTAAGACTTTTTCTTGCTTTGGGTTCACAAACATAATGCTGCATTCAAGACTGGTGAAAAGCTGGGACATCTGGGCCTTTATCACATTTACTGGTTTATTGGAAACAACATATTTCTGACTCGACAATAAATTGACGTTACTGTCAAACTGTTAACTTTGTGGATTGAACAGCTGAAATAACTACTTATAATGGGTAGGTTCTTCTTCTTTACAGAAAAAAATAAAATTAAAAATCGGAAAAATATCAAGTTCTCCACCCCTGACAGGGAGAACGTCTATTTTGTTCAAGATAATAAATTATATAAACATGTTTAATCTTTATTGAGTCTTTACTCTTTCTATGTGCACATTTAGCTCATACCTATTTCAGAGGGTGGACAGCATGGTGGACACCCCGCCTTCACGTGCAGTGTCCCCATTTATTTCAGCCATATGGTCCACAGAGTTAAATTTTTTTTTTTTGGAATCCAGTTCATTTGTGGAACTTTTGCTTTGTGAATACTTTAGTGTTTAATTTATCTTTATATGTTTGTGACCAGAGTTCTTCAATAAGCAAAAAATAAAAATAAATATTCAAGGACTTCCTGTGTGTGTGGTCATGTGGAGAGTCAAAGTGCGTTTATGCCGGAATTTTTTCCCGCACACCTCACAGGAAAACGGCTTCTCCCCTGTGTGAGTCCTCATGTGGACGGTGAGAACGCTCCTTTGGGTGAAACTTTTCCCGCACCTTTCACATGAGAAAGGCTTCTCACCGGTGTGGGTCCGGATGTGAACGTTTAAATTCCCCTTCTGTCTGAACGTCTTCCCACAGATGTCACAGGAAAAGGACACATCACCGGTGTGAGCTCTGATGTGAGCACCCAGAGTGCTGCTGTGTCTGAAACTTTTCCCACAGGTGCTACAGGAATACAGCTTCTCACCTGCGTGGGTGCTCATGTGTTTGGTCAGGTCGTTGCTCTGAGAGAAGTTTTTACCACACGTGCCACAGAAAAACGGCAGCTCCACCGTGTGGGTCCTCATGTGCTCCGTCAGCTTTCCAGACTGAGAGAAACTCTTCCCACATACTTCACAAGAGAACGGTTTTTCCCCCGTGTGAGTTCTTACGTGAACATTCAAGGCATACGAACGACCAAACTTCCTGCCACAGGTCTTACATGAATACGGTTTCTCACCCGTGTGGACCCGGCAGTGCCGCTTCAGTTTGGATCGAAACCTAAAGGATTTTCCACAAAAGTCACATTTAACAAAATTTCTTCCAGTTTTGGGACCGTACCGACTCTCACTGATGTGATCTCTGCTGGACCCTGGGTCCTGCTGATCTTGGGGGTCCCAGTTTGGTTCTGGTTCACTGAGGTGTCTTTCTTCAAAGTCAACAGTCACTATGACTGGACCAGCCTCTTGCATCAAAACCAGCTGTTCTTCATCCTGACCAATTCGAAGTTCTTCCTGTTCCTCTTTAACTTGTGGAGGTTCTTGTTCCTCTTGTGGAGGTTCTGGTTCCTCCTGTGGAGGTTCTGGTTCCTCCTGTGGAGGTTTTGGTTCCTCCTGTGGAGGTTTTGGTTCCTCCTGTGGAGGTTTTGGTTCCTCCTGTGGAGTTTCTGGTTCTTCCTGTGGAGGTTCTGGCTCTTTCTGGTTCAAAGAGGGGCTCCTCTGCAGGGTACAGGACTCTTGGTCATTGCAGAGATAAAGCTGTCTGTAAACATCTAAAAACAAAAGAACACAAATTAACGTTGTGATCTGACTGAAACAAAAAAAAGTCTGTAAAAATAAAGTCCACATTCTGTTGTGAAAAAAGTAGCAGCTTATAGTCCGGAAATTACGGTAGGTGAACATCCTCCATCACAACGTGAATCAAGTAGAACATTCTACTGGAATCAGCTGTTTTGCTTCATATAGTTTACTAAGAACCATAAAGAGGCAAAACAGGAACTGGAAAACAGTTGAAGTGACTTTATTTGACACGTTTTTTATTTTGTTAATAGACTCCATGGAAATAACTGGGAGCAGCACGGTGGCGCGACTGGTAGAGCCGCTGCCTCTCAGCGAGCAGGTCCCCGGTTCAAATCCCGGTTCGGGGGCCCCTCTGGGTGGAGTTTGCATGTTCTTTCTGTGCATCGTGGGTTTTCTCCGGGTACTCCAGTTTCCTCCCACAGACCAAAAACATGCATGTTAGGCTGATTGGTAACTCTAAATTGTCCCTAGGTGAGAGAGAGAATGGTTGTTTGTCTCTGTGTCCCTGTGATGGACCTGAGACCTGTCCAGGGTGTCCCCGGCCCCTCGCATGGTGATTGCTGGACATGGGCACCGGTGACCCCCCTGACCCAAAATGGAAGAAGCAGGTAAAAGGTGATGGATGGAAATAACTGACTTCTGTCAGGTCCAGTTATCTGTGAATTTTTCATCAAATTAATTTGAGATAACAACGATCGTCTCTGATTAACTGTAGTAATTGCCTCACGTGTACAGGCCTGAATGAAACTGGGTATTTAAGCAGCTCCTACCTGTTGTGTGCAGGTGTGTGTGAGGTTTCCAGCTGATGTCCAGCAGTCTGCGCTGACGATCGATCTCTTCCTCGTACCGGACGATGGTTTTTTCAAACTCTGTGAATATTTCTTCAGCAGCAGCAGTTAGTCGCTCGCTGATAAACTCTCTCAGAGACTGAACTGAAGACATTGTTGCTGCACACACTCAACACATTCACCTCTCACACACAGAGCTAACCATGCTAACCATGCTAACACCTGGGTCGCTGCACCGCCAACCTCCACCGGATGTGACGCAGTAAAGTTCCGGCTGAAACTCTGTTTCATTAATGTTTATTTTGATCTACAAACATAAATATGTGTTTTGCTCTGAACTACAAACGAAAAAAGTTAATCACTGTGGCTAATCATAGCAACACGTCTACCACTTCCGCCGGAAGTTCTTCTGTGGTTTGTGTGCGCGCGCAGCTCTCAGAGTTACAGCACCGCCCTCTTTTTTCCTTCAACCTTTGTTTATCCAGGTTAGTCTCATTGAGTCACGTGGACTCATTTACATGAGAGACCTGGTTTAGACAGACAACATTAAACAATTAAATGCAATTAAAATAAAAGTAGTGTTGTAAAAAAATCAAGGTGCCATTTAAAACATGGTAAAATACTAAAACAAGAACATATTTGCTTTGATTTTTCTAATGACCTTGTGAAATGTTTAAAATCCCTTAAAGAAATCACGGTGGGCAGCTTCAGTTCTTGTTGACAGATGTTCCAGGTTATTGGAGCAAAATAAGAAAACTTCTGAATTCACCTTCATCCAGAACAATTTTTCTTTCTTATAATGAAAAGGTTTGATTTTAATACATTTAAAAGTATATCAAAGCTGTATCTGACAACAAGTGTGATACAAGTACACTTCAGTATTTGCGCATTAAGCGTAGTGTACATTCAAAAAGTGTATTTAATATTTTTAAGTACTTTGATGTACTTAACATATACTTACAAAAAGTATACATGTTTAATTTTTTGATGGCAGTCGAGGACGAGGGGAGTGTATGAGACAAAGGAGGAGGATGAGGAGGCAGGAATGTGTCCTGCAGGCCGACACACGCCCTCCTGCCGTCATGTTCTCAGAAAACAAGCCGACTGCGAGTCCAACAGAAGCAACAGAAGTGGACCGAGAGGACATGAGAGGATACCGAGGCATCAAGTACACCTTGTTCATCTTCTGCTACTTCTTCTGGGTGAGTCAGAACAATGTCGGGTCAAAGGTCAAGGTCCGCCGGTACCCAGCCAGAGGGTCCCAACCTCACAGGAAGAGCAAACGTAATGAACGTGAGATTGTTTCCAGAAGTTTATTTTCTTCTGATTAAAAACATCTAAAATGTTTTTAATAAAAATGGCAGAAATGTAAAATATTGTTTGTTTAGTCCAAAGACTGCAGAGGTTCAAGACTTTACCTGAGGCGAAACTTTCTATGAAAAATGTAGAAAGTCTGAGTTTTATTACAGCCCTGTGTAAAAGTCTTAAGCCGATCTCTTTCTGTTTCCAAAGATCCAGATCTCGGGTTGTGTTCAAGGTTCTGGAGACTTTCTGAAGCTCTTTGAATCATTCAGAATTAAAAAAAAGTCTTTCGACTGCTCTTAGCTTTTATTTATTTGAATTAAAACTAAATTTATTCCTGTTGAATGGCACTGATGTCCTCACATGGTCTCCGTCCTGACTTCACTTCAGCTGGGTTCAAAATCTGGAAAACAGATGGTTTGATGTGATCAGCTGTGGCAGACATCTTGAATTGGACTGACTCCAAAGTTATTCAGTTAAAGATATTTATTTAATGATTATTTCCTGGAAGTTTCATTCAAATCCGTCCAGTGGTTCATGAGATATTTTACTGACAGACAAACAGTTACTGCCAAAAACATTATCGCCCGCCATCTTGATGGAACTGGAGATGAGCAGCACACGACCGTCTGTGAACATTCATCATGACTCTAAGTGTTTGTGGCCCTGCAGGTTGTGAGCGCCGTCCTGATCGCCGTGGGGATCTACGCCAAGATCGCCAAAGAGAAAGGTGCCTGCTCCGCCCGACTCCGACGGTTTTTAATGTGGCAGCTCAATAAATCAGGCTGAGGCGAGACGTCTCCAGAAAAAACACCCTGAAGTGAGAAAACCCAACAAAGTTCTGCTGATGAGCACATTCCTGAAGACGTGTTGCAACCTTTGCTGCTCGACGGTGAATCCAACCGTTTCTGCAGTTCTGCCGTTCGTTTGATATTTTTGACTTTATTTTACAGCTGCGAGCTTCACCTGCCTTTGAGGACATTTGAGGGACAGCTCAGCGTTGGTTTTGAACGTCTCAGGACCAGGTCTTGGTCTGGGTCAGCACAGGGGTCTTCATGTGTGTGTTTGTGTGTTTAGATGTGGTGGACACGCTCACTGTTGATCCAGCTTTGCTGCTGATTGTTGTTGGCTCGTTGATGTTCCTCATCACGTTCCTGGGATGTTTTGGAGCGCTGAGGAACGCCACCTGCCTGCTGAAGACGGTACGCCTGCGCTCCGGTCTGTTTACTTTCTCACTTGTCAATCCAAAAAGTTTCTGCAGTTCTGAGTCTGAAGAGATCTTCTGGATGGACCTGAGGAACATATTCTACAGTATACATGACGGTAGAGGTGTCCCCTGAAGGTACAGAGGGGTCCGGTCATCGTGGAGCCACAGACAGAAGTGTTGTGACATTAACTGCATCGCCTAGCTTTGCTATGGTCTGATGGGTCTCTGGAAGTTCTCAAGATGCTTGTGTTTGAAGATATGAGGTTCTGTAATTCTCACATCAACAGCCACACCTCATTCAGTCACATACATTTTTATTCTCCTCAGTCTGACGACGTCCAGCTTGAACTCCAGCAAGTCATATTCAGCACGTCTAGTTGTCCAAATGCTTTGAGTTGCTGTCGTGTGATTGGCTGAGCAGCCATTCGTGTGACCAACCGAGCAGGTTGAGCTAATAAAGCAACAGTAGGGTATCATCAGCGTAGAAGAGAAGTCCTGGGAGCAGAGGATTGGACCCAGTCGAGTGGGATAAATCACACAAAGAAGAGGGTCCAGAAACAAGGCTTAGTGTCTCTGAGGACAGTTTATGGGATGTCTCTTCTTTTATAACTTGAAGGATTGTCTGTGAGAAACGATTCAAATCGAGACAAGACCTTGTTTACGACGCAGGTCTAAGAAAGAACAGATAGAAAGACGTCACTGTTTAAAATGCCAAAACCTTAAAAAGTTGTTTGTTTTTACACAAACACAGCTTCGTTGTCGTGTTCTCACCTTCTCATGAAACCTGTCTGCAGTTTTTGGCGATCCTGGTGGCCATCTTCCTCTTGCAGCTTGCAGCCGGAGTCCTCGGATACGTTTTTACAGACATGGTAACGTTTCAGAAGCAGAATCGCAGCACACCAAGTACCAAACCAAACACACACGTGAGCCTGCTGTCGTTCAGGTGATGGACAGGACGGAGAAGCTGATGATGAAGGCCATTGTCCGCTACAGGGAGGACCAGGACCTGGAGAACGCCATCGACTTCATCCAGAAGAAGGTGAACCTGAATCTGTAGCAAACAACGCTGTGATGCAGAGCAGCTGAGTTCTGCTGTTTGTTCTGTGCCCAGTTCCTGTGCTGTGGTGTAGAGGGCTACAAGGACTGGTCCCACAACATTTACTTCGAGTGTTCGGACACCAACCCCAGTCTGGAGGCCTGTGGGGTTCCCTTCTCATGCTGCGTTCGCTTGAAGAACCAGGTCAGTTGATGGGACCCAGATTCCTCAGTGGGTAAAATAAATCTTCAGCTCCTCTGGAACCTTTAGCTTCTGGTTCCTGCCAGAACAATGAAGGACATTTGGAACAAAATGGAATCCAAAATTCTCTCACAAAAGATTCCTGCGAACCAAACAGCTGTCTCTGAAAGGCTGGGCATCTTGTAAGACTCGTAACTTAAAAAAAAATGTTTTGTTAACATTTATCAGCTATTTTAAACATTAACATGAAAATTGAACCGATAATCAGTTGGACAATGTCCTCTGTCTCACAGGTGTCCATCAGACGTCAGTGTCTCCGACTGTCCTCCTATAATTTACTCCCTTATCATACAGTCTGTTTTGGGTCCAACAAGGTGGACCCGTCCCTTCGGCTGTTTTCTTATCATTGCTCAGAACAACGTTAAAGTTTTGACCATTTATTCGTCTTCTAGCTGCAAATGTTCATGTGAGGAGTTACAAGAACCGTCCCCAATTCACTCCTCATTCCCAAACCGGCTCTGGTCTCAGGTGTCCCTTGTGTCCACAGACAGTGCTCAACACCATGTGTGGCTACGGGACACAGCAGATGGAGGAACCTTCAGCCAGAAAGAACGTCTTCACCACCGGCTGTGTAGAGAAGATCCTCGGCTGGGCCAGGAACAACCTGCGGCTGGTGGCCGGCCTCACCGCCGGCCTGCTGCTGCTTGAGGTAACACCGGACCAAATCCTACGAGCCGGTCCAGCTGAGCCAAGTCTCTAACCTGTTGGTGTCCCTCATGGCAGGTGTGCATGATGTCCCTGGCAGGTGCACAGATCTCCTGGATAAAGAAGGTCCAGCAGAGACAGAAAGAAATCGAAGCTCGTTGTAAATCTGAGAAAAAGGAGAGACTTTGGTTTCCTGCGTTCGCCGACTTCGACAACGAATAAAAACGGACCGAAGATGCGTGGATTCACGCTGCGAGCTTACGTCCAGATTCAGGAGGACGTCAGCTCCCACCTCGTGGACAAACTGGTTTTTTCGTGCTTGTTGGTGTTTCTGCTAAACACACGATGAACGCTGGAGTCAGAGGAGTCCATCAGGGTGTTAGAAGAAACGAGCCTCTGCTCCTTTGATGTGGACATCCAGGAGGTGGACGACTGAAGTTTTGAACTTTTGGGTCACGTAAACAACAAAGATAAAACTTTTACTCAAAAAAGAAAATGTGTTTTATTTTCCAGAATAAATAAGACAGAATATAAAAAACAGACACGAAGCTAACAGCTGAAACTGACGTGTGCGTTGGCAGAGGAACGCTGAGGGGAACCCCAAGGATTAAGGCAGCTCTTTGTTTTCACCTCCACTGAAGCCAGGTGGACCAGGTCGTACCTGATGACTCCAGGTCAAAGGTCGTGCCTGATGACTCCAGGTCAAAGGTTGTACCTAATGACCCCAGGTCAAATGTTGTACCTGATGACCCCAGGTCAAAGGTCATACCTGATGACTCCAGGTCAAAGGTTGTACCTGATGGTCCTGGTCAAATATCATACTATATGACTTCAGGTCAAAGGTCATACCTGATGACTCTAGGTCAAAGGTCGTACCTGATGACTCCAGGTCAAAGGTTGTACCTGATGACCCCATGTCAAAGGTCATACCTGATGACTCCAGGTCAAAGGTCATACCTGATGACTCCAGGTCAAAGGTCATACCTGATGACTCCAGGTCAAAGATTGTTTCTGACGGTGCTGGGTCAAATATCATACCTGATGACAAGAGGTCAATGATCATATCTGGTGATGGTGGGTCAAAGGTCGTAGCTGATGGAGGAGGAGCCTCTGATCGTCAGGTGAATGTCTCAAAGGGCACAGTTTGAAGGTAAACCAACATGGAGGTTTCGGCTGCTGAACAGTCTGAACGTCCTCATGGTTTTCGGCTCACAGCCAAGAGTTGGAAGGTGGGCGATAATGTTCCAGCTGTGTTTCTTTGTCTGTTAGCAAAATATCTTAGAAACCCATGGTTGAATTTTCATGAAACTCAGACTCAGCAGCTGAATAACATCTGGAGCCGACCTGTTAGCTAACATCCGTTAACCAAAAATTGTCTCCAACTCTGTCAGCTGATGTGGTAGTAGCTGAGAGTCATCCCAAACACACTCAGAGGCCTAACAGAACACACAACATCACCTACAAGGTTTTACCAAAACTGCTGTGGCGGCCATCTTGAGACAGGTTCCTGTCTAAAGGTTGACAGTTTTCCAAAGATTATGTTCAAGGGTTTCATTAAAATCCATCCACTGAGTCATGAAATATTTTGCTAACAGACAGGTAAATGAATACAAACAGAAAAAAAACATGATCGACAACAACAACAAACAAGAGTAAACAATGCTGCAGCTTCACATGAAGCCAGTCGGAGCGCATGCCCGCATGCTGAGGAAGAGGAGGAGGTCAGAGATGAAGAGCACTTGATTTGTATACTGTGACTCCTGAACCGAGGGGGAGGAGCCCCCAGCAACAGCCAATCACATCGCCGTTCACACCTGACTGCAGGTGAGTCAGTTCAGGTTCTGCGGTCTGGGTCTCTGAACACAGCTGTGACTCCGGTGAGACCGCTCCAGGTTCTGGTCGCCTTGCAAGTGAATAACCTTAAAGAGGAGTGGTTCTGGATCCAGATCAGAAACCTGAACCACTTCTGGTTCTGACAGACCCGATCTGAGTTCTGTTCACAGTTTTCTATGATTACCCACCCAGTCTGAAGGTACTGAATGCAGCACGGACCAGAACTCTCGCGTCTGAGGACTTAACGGGTCACAGACAATTCTCAAGATAAACCAGTAGTTTCAGGCTCAGAATTGTTCTGACCGGGTCCTTTTAGGTTCAGGTGGGCTAGGATTGGATCCTGAAGGGCACCGATGTGTTTGGATCCAGTCCTGTAGGACTCAAATATGTTTGGACCCAGTTCTACTAGGCTCAGATATGGTTGAACCAGGTCCTGATGGGCTCAGACGTGTTCCAGTTGGGTCCTGATGGGCTCAGATGCATTCGGATCCAGTCCAGCTGGGCTCAGACATGTTTGGACTGGGCCCAAAGAGCTCAGACAAGTTCTGAGCACGTTCTGGCAGGCTTAGGTCCTCACACCTGGCAGATGTTGTAGTAGACTGTATGGGCTTGCCTCTGGCCCGTTGGGTCTCCCCCGGTGTCGAAAACGCTCCCTCGGTGGACGTGGATCTCGGTCATGGGGATGTGGACACTGTGGGAGTTGCTGTGAGGAGCCTGAGTCCCGTACGATGGAACCGTCTGCAGAAGAAACAGAACCAGGTTACATTTGTGTCCAATGAACATTTCTCAGTTCGGTCTGAAAACCTCTCCTTCAGAGGTCCGTTCAAAACCTCTCCTTCAGAGGTCCGTTCAGGATCTGCAGGGTTCTGCAGTACCCCGTCTTTAAAGTCCAACCATGATGCGTTCACTGAACCTCAGAAATAAAGACGATTCAAACATGTCTTCTCCCGGTTAATTTGGACCGGTGCAACACTTGCAGGTGCTCAGCCTATGTACAAAGCTCCGCCTCTTTTGGGAAAAGGCTCCACCTCTTTTGTGGGAAAACAGAGCTCCGCCCCTTTAGGGGTAACAACAACGCTCCAGTTTAAAAGGTGGAGCTCCTGTTTGTTAAATAAAACTGCAGCATTGTTTTGACGATTTTCAGAGCTAAAATATTTTCTTCTATCAAGAAAAAAATTATTTAATAACAAATAATCAATGAGGCAGATGGATGAGTGGTTAGAGCCGTCGTCTTCCAATGGGAGAGTTGGGGGTTCAATTCCACCAGAGTGCAGCCACATGTTGAGGTGTCTCTTGGACGAGACACTGAACCCCTCATTGCCTCTGCTGTGTGTCCCATCAGTGTCTGAATGTGAAAAATCTCTGATTAATCTCTACAGATTCAGATTATCTTTGTAGAGATGTAGCAGAGTGCTGTACGGATGAGTAAGGAGGTAAATGAGGCACAGATTGTTGTAAAGAGCTTAAAGCGTCTTGATTAGATAAAAAGGAGCAACATAAAAACAGTCCATTTACCATTAACCACAAAATAATAAAAAATACTCAGAAATATGGATTAAAACTCACTGAACTGGATGGACAATCATAACCAGCATCCAGTGGGTTCACCTGTAGCTGCAGAAGAGTTTATATCTTTTATCAGACCTGTGCTGTCCGTTTGAACATCTCCAACCTTAACCTCATGAAGTTATATAAATTATATTTATAGAAACTTATCAGCTGTAACAAATGTCGTCCTCATTTCCGAAAGACCTTCAGTTCTGGTCCAGGTTGGTGTACCCGACTTTCATTTGTGTTTCTTTCATTTCATTTTTTACTGAACCGTGTTTGTTGGAGTTTGTACCAAAATACGGATCGACAGAAGGACACGGAGTCTGGAGCCGGGTCTGCTGGATCAGAACAGTTCAGGTGACAGAACCCTGGTTCTGTACGTGTCTGCCGAGAGCTCAGCAGGATCCAGTGATGCTCTGAGCCTTAAGCTGTTGTGGTTGTTGGTTGCATGTGAGCAAACTGTGGTAATCTGATCCGACCGGAGTCCATGAATGAAGAAACAAACTGGTGTTCTGTCCATTCTGCATACATGTCAGAGTTGCATACATGTCAGAGTTGCATACATGTAGTTATTCTGTAAGAGGCCCGCGACGTTTAGAGGAGCCATCCGTTTATCATACACTACAAGATACAAAAAAAAGCACGTCAGTAAATTGTTTTGATGTATTATTGTGTATTTACACAATTTGCAGTGCGCGCACATGCGTATTCTGCAAGAGGCCCGCTTAGAGGAGGAGCCGTCAGTTCATCATACAGCTGTTAATAACAAAGTACATGATGATCTGACAGGTTAACTGCTACGTCATTAGCTGTTAATAACAAAGTGGACTGACAGGTAATCTGTTACGTCATGGTGTCATATGGCTGATTTAGTTACAAAGAGCATATGACAATCTGACAATGCGTTCAGAACGGACAGAACACTGGGCTTCCTGTCAGAACTCGTCCCAGGTTCTGTCGCAGTTTTTCCTCTCCGAGGTTAAAGCTGGAACTTTTCAGACGTTTAAAAACGACCTGCACGTTTGTCATTTATTCGATGATAAAACACTAAATCTAAACTCTACGTGTTCTGATGGTGTGAATGTTCAGCCAGCATTCATGCTATTATTAGCTAGTTTAGCTACTTTTAGTTTTTAGCTGCTGTTGTGCTAACAACAATCCAGTTTCAGCTGCTTCAGTAACTTTCAGACATTTTTTGTGTCGTTTACAGAAGCACGGTTTGAGTCGGGTGATCTGATCCCAGCATTTTACCTTTCCGGTTCCACCCAGGGGGAAATCTTTCCGACACAGGTGTGCGATGATTCCTGCCGCCAAGGCGTCCCCGAGGACGTTGATCATGGTCCGGAACCGGTCCCTGCAGAGACAGAGGGTACGACGTCAGGCTCCAAACTCAAAGTCTTTATAATAACCGTCTCTCTGACTTACAGGATCCAATCGATGGCAACAATGAGCGTGATGTCATCAGGGGGCAGGCCCACAGAGGTGAGGACGATCACCATGGTTACCAGGCCCGCCTGAGGGATCCCTGCTGCACCGATGCTGGCGGCCGTTGCAGTGATGCTGGAAGACGAAGCGGAGACGTGAGAAACAGAAGTGACTGTAACCTCAGCTTTTAATGCTGAAAGCATCATAAGGCTAGCTAAAAGCTGCAAAATGCTAACTACAATGAATAAAGGAGAGCTAAAAGCTAAACACGCGTTTGTATGGAAAAAAGTTAAATATTTTGAAAAATATAAAAATTACAAAACCAAAAGTCACAGCCACGTCTACTGAATGAGCCAAACATTTTGATGTATGAACGGCTAAAAGAGCACCAAGTTTGCAGAAGTAGATTGTAAAAAATGTACGGAAAACTAAAATCAGGATTATAATAACTGAATGAATGCTGACTCAGCGTTCAGACAGTAAACAGGTATTCTTCCTAAAATGTTAAACTTTGGGTTTTGTCTTCGTGGATCAAGTTTAGAAGTCGACTCCTGTCTCGTGTATTAAACATCAGCACATGTACAAGGATTCCCAAGGAACGCTGCCGTTCACGCTGGTTTACCTGATGGTGACCAACTGGCCGAAGTCCAGCTCATAGTCGTTAACTTGAGCAATAAATATGGCTGCTACGGCCTCGTAGAGCGCCGTGCCGTCCATGTTGATGGTGGCACCAACTGGGAGGACAAAGCGGGCAATCTGCCGGTCCACGTGGCAGTTCTCCAACAAGCACTTCATGGTGATGGGCAGCGTGGCAGAGCTGAGGAACACCAAATCCAAATTAATGTTGCAAACCTAAACAAGACATCTGTGCTTAGAAGTGGACTGACCTGGAGGAGGTGGCCAGAGCGATGACCATGGCCTGCAGCAGCCCTCGGATGTATCTGAAGGGGTTCTTCCTGGTTAGGATCAGGTAGAACAACGGGAGGAGGACAAGGCCATGGACGAAGAGGCCTGTGAGGACGGTAACGCCGTACCAGCCCAGCTTCTTCCCCAGCGTGCTCGGGTCCTGCATGTCCAGGATCTTTCCTGCCACCAAGAAGATGATCCCAAATGGGAAGTACCTGAGCAAGCAACAGACCTCATGAGACGGGCCTGCTCTCAGAGTATGTGCTGAGAACAACCGTCAGCTACTTTCACAGCAAAACTAACTCAAGAACAGGAAGTTCAGTTGCCTTTGTTGTTGGCTGTGATGGCCACGCTGAACTGGGATGATTGGTTGTAGATAAAAATCTCTCTAGTGGTTCATAATATATTTTGCTAACAGACCCACACACACTCTTTCAAGGATGAAGATGTTCACATCCTGGACAGAGAGGAACGATGGTTTGAGAGAGGAGTAAAGGAGGCCATCTTTGTGAAAAGAAACTGTCCATCATTAAACAGGGGTGGAGCCTCCGGGTTCAACTGTCCCCCTCTTACAATGCTGTGATTGCTAGTATCACTCAGCCCTCTGTGAACAGTAAACAGCCATCAGGTGCTAATGATCCATTGTTAGGCTGATGGTCCTTCTTGACCATGTGATCAGCTGGTTTTGGTTGTCAGCAGCAAAACTGGTTGATCCACTCTGAGAAGGTGCTATTTAAGAGACTGAGCTGAATACAACACCTCAGACTGAGGAAGTCCTCAGGATGAGAGACGAAACGTTTCTAGATTTTTTTGCTTTGTTTTGTTTTTGGTTTTTTTGAATGTCCAGAGGACCAGATTGAACTTTTTTGGATTTTTCTACCTGGATTATTGAGCATGCATCAGGAGACCCACACACACACAAACTGAACAGTTTATCACCTGCCTTTCAGCAGAGGGTGATGAAAAAGTTTTGAATGTGATAAAAAATTCAGGGCTCTTGTTTCTGTAAGCAAAGGATGAGCTCTCAGAAAAGACTGCTGTGATAAAAACAGTCTGTCGTGGCTTATAAGAACCACATTGGTGTTCAATACAGCTGAAGCAGTGCCTTAGTTCAAAGAGATTTATTTGACAACGGTTTACAAGTACTCAGAAGCTCAAAGATACATTTACAATGTATGCATACACGGGCATTTCTCAGACAGACCTGTATGATGGCAATCCTCCAGCAAATGCAACGACCTCGGTCCTGACTCTTTCCCTTATTTTACAGAGACTGCTTCTGATTGGTTTAAACGCCCCGTTGTCATGGTTACGGGGCTCCTCGGCCTTGGAGGTCACATACCAAAAAGATAAGGTTTTATGGTTTTATGGTCCTTTGTTAGTTAACTTTCCCTTGAGCTGAGCACACTTGTTAAACGATTAAATGCTACTTTCTATTATCTTTACTACTTATGTTTAGTCAGCTATATTAAGTTCTATTATCTTTACTAATTATGTTTAAGCAAACTACATTGAAATGTGTTCAGAGACTCTTAGCGTCTCTCATCTGTGTGTGTGCGTGTCAGTCCCTGTGTGTGTGATTGCGTGTGTGTGTGTGTGAATGAGTGAGAACTTCTACTAGATTATATTTAAGCAAACTACCTGAAGTTAATATTCTATTTAACTAAGTAATTCAAATCAAAGTAACTGATTAATATTTAAATGATTATAAGGTAATTAAAACCTTCAAAGATTGACACACTCATTTTATCATGAAATTTCAAGCTTGATTAAAATAATAATAAAAGATAAAACATGAAATCCAACAAGTCCTTTAGGTGAATAACGTAGAAAACAAGCACGACATATTCATACGTTTAACAATTACAGAGGATAAACTATTACTCTTGACCAACCATCCAAAGTCAAAGAAGTCAATATTTTTATGTGATAATTAACCTTGTTCCATTTGAGTCTTTGGAATCGCTCTTTGTCTGTAACCTAGGACCAATCTGCTTTTGGAGACGCGACCAGGGGTAATTACAACTACCCCTGACAGCATAGATCTTAGGCTCATTCAGGCACACAAGCTCCTCAACCACGATGGTGGCGATTCCAAAGACTCAGACAGAAAACAGCAAGGAGCTCAGAGCACCTTGCCCGGACGTGGAATACCAGAGCTCCACCCTGGAGCCAGGCCTGAGGGAGGGTCTCGTCAGCGAGCGCCTTGTGACCGGGTCTCTACCCATGGGGAAGGAGCCTGAGCTTGTGCGCGAGGTTGAAAGTGACCGACTAGATATTGTTGGGCTCACCTCGACGCATGGCGTGAGTTCCAGAACCAATCTCCTTGACAGGGACTGGACCTTATTCCACTCTGGATTTACTGGATTATTTGTGCTGCTGTTGTTTGGTGCATTGTTTTGTACTGTTAGTGCTTAGCGTATTTCTTAGTTCATGTCTTAGATCTTAATGTTTTTCTTTACAATATGTATTTTTGTTGGATGTAACTGGGACCCTGTGTGCATAGTTTTGTTCCACCTCATGTACCACATGTGATGTGTGAAAAAATTAATAAACTAACATGTATTGTTTAAATATTATTTAA